TTTGTGCCAATTAGCCTAATGGCAGTCAGAGGCCAGAAATTAGGACGAAATTAGCTTTATATGCATTTGATATATGTAAGAAAAATCCTCTTGGTTTTAAAGAGGTTATCTGTCCTTTCCCATCTTTTTTTTTTAAAGCTCTAAATTGTTTCATGCTTATTCTTAATTGACATTCCTTCCCCCATGCAGGGATAAAAAAAAACATAAAAGGGAAAATTAAAACCAGAGCTATTTGTCAACTTGCCTCTTATGCTGTCCTGTAGCAACTTTTTAAAAGGGTGTATAAAATCAATTTTTTTCTGAAGTGATGTTCTCTCTCCTGCTTTTTGAAATGACATTTTCCAGAATTCCTAGCAAACATTGTTATTTTTGTTTATATTTATGCTTTTTACGACATCTTTTAACTGCATTCCTACTTTAAAGAGCAGTGTAGGAGAGATAAATCTAGAGAGGAGGGTTAGGGAACAAGGACAAAAGAAACTCTGGCATAATTGTTTTTTTTAATATTTGCATTTATTAAAAAATGTGATTAAAGCTTCACTTCCTTTTAAATACAGGTAGTTCTCAGCTTACAACAGTTCATTTAGTGACCATTCAAAATTACAACTGAAAAAAGTGTCTTATGACCATTTCTCACACTTACCACCTTTGTAGCAGCCCCATGATCATGTGATCAAAATGCAAATGCTTGGCAACTGGTTCATACTTATGACGGTTGCCCTGTTCCCAAGGTCACATGATCAACTTTTGCTAACTTCTTACAAGTAAACTCAATGGGGAAGCCGGATTCACTTAATGACCAGATTACTAACTTCTCAACCTCAGTGATTCGCTTAGGAAGATGGTAAAATGGGGCAAAAACAAATATCTCACTTAGCAACATAAATTTTGGGTTCCATTGTGGCCGTAAGTCAAGGACTACCTGTAGATGCTGGGGCACCATGTGCAAAAAGCGGTGGGGCTTTGATCACATGGTTGCAGGCATCCTCCTGACAAGTTTGACTCTCTCCCATGGACATCATCATCACTGTTACAAATTACTATTACAGTTTGATGCTCCGGTAGATGGGAATGGGCTTCGGCGGCTATCTCCAGGGAAAGTAGTTGTAGGGCAGTGGTGGCGAACCTATGGCACGCGTGCCAGAGGCAGCACTCAGAGCCCTCTCTGTGGGCACGCATGCTGTCGCCCCAGCCCTGCCTCCCCCATGGCCCCCTCCTCACCAGCAGCCCCCCCAGAGGAGAGTCACCCCTGGGTACGGCCTGCGCAGAGCAGCATAGCCAAGCACATGGCAGCTGGGCAGCAGGGACAAAACTCCACCCTCGTACCCCATTGTGTGCAGATGATGCAGTGGGGCGCGGGCGGAGGGCGTGGCCAACATGGCGCTGCAGGGTCACCTGGGTGATTTGCAGCGGGCCGTGGAGGTGGTGGGTGACCCTATGGGTGGTGTGGGGGTGGAACAGGGTGGGGTGGAGTGAGGGCAGGGCAGGGCGGTTTTTGGGCAATCGGTCTCTAAAAGGTTTGCCATCACTGTTGAGGGTCTCTTTGGAGGTCCTCAGCAAGAGGAAAATCCATGGGAATGAATGGTCTTGACCAAGGAAGCTGGTGAAAATTATGGGCTGGCCCGGTCACTACATCAGTGTGCATAAAAACAATGCATTTTAGAGTCCATCCTAAGATTCTGCTAAACCTTCCCTAAATGA